CGAGTGGTATTAACTAAATTTTTATCTTTTCTTTTTATTTCTCGTTCAATCTGAGTAACTATATCTGTATTAAAAATATCGCCATTCATAGTATCTTCACTTATTTTTTTTGTTAAGTTATCAGCGGAACTGGCATGGTCAATATTAACTAATATCGAACTACTACTGGATATTGGGTCAGATATGTGAACAGATTTAGACTTAGATTTGGAACTTCTCTTTTTTATTTCTGTATTGGGAGGAGTAGTGGATTTCAGATGCAGGTTCGAAGAATCATGATTCTTGGATCGCTCTTTAGGCTTACTCTACAATAAAATCTCTCTTTCAATTCGGTTAGAATTTTTAGGTAATATTACTGGTATAGGTAATATTTCAGAGGAAATGACACTTTATATTATTTGTTGTTGACATTCATGACTCTCCCATATATCTTTAACCCGATTCTCATTGATATGGAAATCTCTTATTATTCTATATTTAGGAACCTTTCCCTTGAGCGTTCTAATTGTTTCTATTTGTTCAGAAGTTGGTAATGTAGAACCCTTGCGATAATAAGATTTTAGATATGAAGTACTTATGGTTTGTTTTTTTTTTTATTCAATATTCTAGAATGATAAAAAATGATAAAAAATAATATTCATTGTTATAGAATGATAAAAAATAATATTCATTATTATAGAACGATAAAAAATAATATTCATTGTTATAGATAGGGAATATTATCAAAAGTAAATATATAAAAATAATTACTCTATAATCACCAGGGCATTAATTCTCTCTAATATATAACAATACCTAATATTAAATATCATTAAATATCGTTAAATATCGTTTGATAATTATAGAAATTATTAACAAATCTAGTTTTATCAGACTTGTCTGTATACACAGTTGCATTAACGGAGCTAGTATAAGGTGCTAATATTCTTTATATACACATCCCATTTTTATCAATTATGACTAATCTTTAATATCTATATATAGATAATTCAAAATATGGCCAATGTGTATACACTTCAAAATACCAATAAAGGATATAGGCTAGGTAGTATGCAAAAACAAGAACTCGAAGAAACTTTGCGTTGCAGTTTAAAGACTATATCCGAGCTAAATGACTGTAACGAAGTATTGCAATCTAAATACTCAAAACGTATAAAGACTTTTGATCAAGAAAGAAAGAGGTGAAATCAAGATTCATTACGAAATAATACTGAAATCCAAAAGTTACACACCCATGCTTTGCAAGTTATTAATGAGGGTAAATGATTACAAAATGAAAATACTAATCTAATTTCTCATAATGCACAAAAGGATATTTTTATTGCTGAATCAAAGGTCGAGAATATTACAAAATCTAAGAAAATTAGGTTACTCGAGTCTATGATCAAAATATTGGAAAATAAGTTGTCTTCAACTCAGAAGGATGTGATTTCGATCCAAAACGACTCATCAAAAAAAAGAATCCGAAATAATATCCCTTAAATCTAAAATAATTGAATTGGAACGAGAGTTAGCTTCAACAGTTAGTGAGCTCGGTAGTTTGAAATCTGAGGATATATCGGAGGAATTAGTGATTCGAGGCTATGCCTCATTCATTGTTGGTGGAGATGTCGAGGGCAGAGCTCCATGACTCAAAGAGTCACTCTAAAGGAGCTTGTTCCCACAATAAAAAATATAACCAAGCCAGATAATAGCTCTATAATTAGAGAATCTAGCAATAGTCTTAGACCGTATCTAGCATGCAGAAAAAATATAGAAGATATCGAAAAAATCGATGATGATGACGGAGACGTCCTTATACCCAAGGTAAGTGACTCATAGAGTGAGGATGTTAATGCATCTGAAACTAGTAAAGATATTATGTTAGACACACATATAAATTCAGATCCACAGATTTCAGTAGGAGGAATAGAAATAATACCTATTGTGGCAAGTGGTTTAATGTCACCATTGTTAACCTTGATTTACCTTCTAAAGAAACCAAAGAAAACTAAGTGACTAATAGTGGAAATTGTATTTATAGACTTT